TCTCTGCCCCTCCCCCCCCCACCAATCCTGCATTTATTTGATCCAAAGTACAGCAAGAGCAGTAATATTGTGAAATATTTTTACTATTTAAAATAACTGCTTTCGATTGGAATATATTTTAAAATGTAATTTATTTCTGTGATCAAAAAGCTGAATTTTCAGCATCATTACTGCAGAATTCAGTGTCACATGATCATGAAAATATTAATAATAATAATAATAATAACAAGAAAAAAAAAAGGGCAGCGGTCCAAATCAGCTGCCAGGCCACCGGGAATTCTCCCGGTGCTCCCAATGGCCAGTCCGGGCCTGAGCTGGACTGTTAAGCGGTCATCATGAGCGGTTTCAAAGCAGCATTCAAAATACTGAAATGCTGCTGATTGCAAAGCTGAACTTAATTTTCATAGTTCCTGTAGTGACAATAACATCCAGTGGGGGGCCTTGGAACTTCAGTGAATGTTGAACACTGAACCTCCATGTCCATATTTAGAGAGAGAGTGAGACAGAAAGAATGTGTGTGATGGAAATGGGACAGAGAGAGAAAGAAAACAGGGAAACAAATGAGAAAGCCTTGCCAAGGAGGGAGGGCAAAAGGAAGAGGACAGTAATGAAAATGAAAAGGAAAAGAAAAAATTGTGGGGGGACGGGAGATGGGTTGTGTGGGTAAAGTTCCTCACACCAAGATCCAGACAACTTCTCATCAGGGTGATAAAATCTAATCCCTTTATGATTGAAAAAAAAAATTCATATTCTCAAAGACAATCCGATATCCTTTCCTTTGTAGGAATTGATGCATGTTTTCTGTGAATGAGAAGATTTAGAGAAGCCTTGCCGAGGATGATTGAGGGAGATGGATGAAAATGAGTCCACATCAGAGGGTCTCAAACGGCACTGACCTTCATTCTACCAGAAGTGGACCGGTGACGAGGCCTGTGGAAGAAAAGGTGTGTGTGTGTGTGTGTATAAATTCACATGAGATGTCCTTGATTGGACCTCAAACTGAGGGTATGTGAGCTGTACGTCAGAATTTTTCTTAAACGTGTTATGCATTTAGTGATAATGCATGCTTTTAGCTCATATTTAATATTGTTACTGGTGGTAAGTGGTATTAAATACAAAAGCCTCTACCTAAACTAAATATAGCCTCTTGTTTTGGTTCCTGGAGGTAATTGCTGCATATTTCAGTGTATCATTTTGCTTAAAGGCTACACAGCAAATTAAGAGCAGATTGGCCTGTATTCAGCAAAGATTATCACAATGAAAATGGTTGAAAAAAAAATCTAGTCTGTTATTAGTAGTATTTTTTGGGCCAGTAATGGGATTAATTTGCTGAAAGCTGCTCATGTTTGTGGAAGTTTTAATAAGCTTTGGAGGACAGAGTAATGATGCTGATGGTGTTATGTCAGCGTGTGGCATTTACTGTGGCTATTCACTGGAGGTTCTTTTTCATTTGATGAAATAAAATGGAAGTGAAAGTGCTCCAGCTAATGTACTCAGGTCGAGTGGAGGAGGAAGAGGAGGATGACGAAGGAGCAGGACAAAATGAAGATGCTGTTTAGATTACAGCGTGTTAAGTCAGATAGTGTTTAGAAGGGGGAGTGCATGGCCGCTATACATGCAATGCATTACGCGGACACTCAAGAGCATTCAATCCTTAGAAAAAGCTCTTCTGCCTTTCTCGGTATTGGATATTTACATCAAATTCACATTAAATGGATTCCATTCTAGTCATGGCACAAAATTGCATAACTCCTGGAATGCTGTTAAAAAATATTTGGATCTATGAGTGAAAGAAATTGAGTTTATTTTATTTAGAGATGTATTAATATAATTTGTTGTTAAATAGGTTAGAGGTTAATTCTATGCTTACTTGGCATGTGGTGATGTTAATGATAAAGGAATATAGTTAAATTTGTCACACTTTTTTGTAGAATGTTTGTTTTTGTTTTTTTGAGTCAACCTTCTCTACATTTAGTTGAGCACCTGCTTTTCAATTTGTGGTTTATAAAATGATGTCTGCAAGGCTGGGCTTTAGCATAGGGACTTTCCTAATTGATTTAATTTCCTAATTTTCCTAATCGATTTAAAAAGGTTGCTAGAGATTGAGCACAGAAGGTACATAACTAAAGTTACTCTTACAGTAAATACTGCTCTTACACCGATGTAACATTACTCCAGTCTAACTCACTCTGGTTTTATCTTAGTTTTATTATCTTTAAACAAAGGTGGTGAATACATATTCAGGACTTTGAAACGAGATACATGATTCACATGGATTGTACTGTCAGTGTTTTTTTTTTTTTTTCATTCAGACCCATGTGTCTTGATATCACACGTACATGTTGCCCAGGCATACTTGATGTGTTTCACTATATGAAGTTTTCTCTTTTAAGAACATCTGCTCATCTGCATTATGTCTCCACACGTTCCCTGCCACTTTTAGACTGCAGTGCTTTCCAGATCTTTAACAGATGTCTTTGTGATATGTAGTGTGCTTACTGGGCTATCATATCAGATAGAGACTCAATACTTTTATATTCGCATTCATGAAATCGGAAGCCTGGGAAATCTTTTTTATGGAACGTTATTTGAGTTAAAATTATGCGGGGCCATGTGTAAAATAATCTTATTTGATTCTTTGTGAAAATCCTTTTTGATCCTATTAGGATCCTTTTGTATTTGTTAGAGATTATGAAATAATTTCCATTAATAATAAAAGACTAATATTGTGCATTCTTTTTTGCAATTTTGCCTGTGATCTATTTATTTTTTACTAAACAAAGGGTGACAAGCCCTTACCAACTCTTCTTTTTGAAAAGTCAGGGAAGCGTTCACACCAGATGTCATATGTGAATAGTTTCTTCTATTACTGCACAGATGGTTGCTATAGTTACTAAATAAATTAATATTTGTTTTAGTTTTCTCTTCATTTATTAATACTTGAATTAAGTGTTATGTATGGTGGCCGAGAGAGCTCAATGCGCTGCAAATGAAAAAACACATGCAAATAGAAAAAAACACCTGCACATTAAGAAAACATCTTCATCAATTTGACAACACATGCACTGCAATACTCACAACACAACCAAATGAAGAAACGCGCTGCAAATAGGCACAGACCACATCGGAAATGTTTAAGGGAACCGCAAAGTGGCGAACATGGCTGGGACATATTTATCAATGTTTGCTCTGAAAGGTGAGATTTTTGTTTATTTTTACATCTTGATTATATGATTCCTTTGCCTCTTCTTTTTTTATTTTTAATTTTTTTAATTATTAGCCTAAATAAGATGACGAAATACACAATTACTGTAACTGTGAAAACATGTAAGCTGGCTAACTTGCTTTACAAATTCCCTTACAAAAATTAACCATATGGTTTTACTATTAAAATAAATAAATTAATAAATACATTTATTATGTAAAAAAAATAAAAAAAATGGTTACTATAGTTAAACCATGGTAACCACAAATTAACCATGAATTTACTACACTAACCATAGTTTAAAGGTGCAGTAGGAGATCTTGGAAAATGCTAACTTTAGCCTGATAGCACTGAAAGCGAACGTCCCACCCTCCCTGCAATCGCCGTCCAAAGTCACGCCCCCCGAACGCATTTACACTCACAGACCAGAGACAACATTACTACAATAGGCTACATACATGGTTAATTTTCGTTTTGTTGGGGTAATTTTGGCATTGTTGGGGTCCTCCCGTTGTGGTCTGTACTTGCATTTCTGTATTTGGTTGTGTTATGAGCATTTGCAGTGCGTTTCTGTATTTGGTTGTGTTGTTAGCATTTGCAGCGCATTTCTTTATTTGTTTGTGTTGTGAATATTTGCAGCACGTTTTTTTATTTGTTTGTGTTGTGAGCATTTGCAGCGTGTTTTTGTGTTTGATTGTGTTGCGAGTATTTGCAGCACATGTGCTGTCAAACTGATGAAGATGTTTTCTTAATTTGCTGGTGCATGTGTTTTCTGAAGTTGCAGCGCGTTGAGCTCCCTCGGTCACCGTAATTATGTGATATATGTGAGTTTGATGATTTTGTGATGTGTATAACTGGTGTGCAAATGTGTGGGTTTTTAATATGCAGAAAATGAAGTCCACAATACCAAGAAGAAAAACCGCTGTTATTAAAGCTTTCAGCAAAACCAGACAAAGGTACGCGCAAACACACACACATACATACTCACAAAAATACACAATACACCACTTGCATTCTTTTTGAAATGGACTCAACTGGTTCCTGTGGTCTTGTCCCGGTGGCCGTCTAGGAGACAAGGTCTTCACTGGGGATCTGTCTCTGGGGCTCATAGTTGTCCTGATCTCCGCTGACATTCAGGACTGTAGAGGTCCTAGGTGCTGATCCACCATTTGGGCTGGATACGTACTGGATTCGGGTGACTGCAGTGACCATCAGATCTGGATACAGACTGGATCTGATGGCTACGGTGACCTCAGAATAAGAAAGAAACAGACTAATATTAGCGTAGATGTCATTCTTCTAACAATGTAGCAATTACATCGGGTGTTATGGGAAGTGTTCCCGGTTCCGGTTGTCCACACGCACCAAGAAAGAAACAGACTAATATTAGCGTAGATGTCATTCTTCTAACAATGTAGCAAGTCCATCGGGTGTTATGGGAAGTGTTCCCAGTTCCGGTTGTCCACACGCACCCACACACACACACACACACACACACACACAGTCACACACCCACACATCTCATTATTCTTTCCCTGTGCCACTGGTTCCTCCTTCTTCAGCCTTTAACTGATTCCAAGCAGAAAATCAAAATGCCTCTTTTGGCGCTCTGTTCCTCACTGAATATCTGATCTGTGTGTGTGTCAGAGCTTCACTGAATCAAACATAATCACTTGCTCGGCATGTCTTGATCGCAGGGCTCTTTCAAAAAGAACTTTATATCACAAAGTTCACAGAGTCAGAGATGTTTCTGACTTTGGTGGAAACTGGCTACATGTCTAACCTTTAAAGGCTAAATTTTTTAAATAATGGATTATTATTTTTTTATAAGTCTAGGGCTGTGTGTGTCTATGGGCTTGTCTGGTCAATTTGATCCAAAGAAAAAATAGTTTTTCATGCTTTAAAAATAAATATAACAAAATCTAGTGAGGTTTATTCCCAAATAAGTCTTATTATCGTAACACAAATTTGTTTCTGAAGCAGATGTATATTGTTGAAGGATATATACTAGTGCAAACCAAGACAAAAATACTTAAAGGGATTTTTTTTTAATTAATTTTTTTATTCACACTGTAAAGCACGCTCGCACACACTCACACTGGCTGCTTATATCTGACCAATCCCTTGGTATTGGCTAGACTCAAGGACACACTCTGCCTTATATAGGCAGGAATGCAACAACAGACACACACACATTAACAAGAAAGCTGGCAACGTGCGTCATTCACATTACAAGCAAGAAGAGAGATAGAGGCAAGATGCCAAGACAAAATGATGACTAAATACAACACAAAGAAAGAATCTATTTATTTTAATCTACTTATTTGTATCTAGTGTCAGAAATCTATTAGTTTGGAATACGAATTTTCTGGAAGATAACCAGTTAATCTCGTAGATAAACTAGAAATATGCAGCACACGTCTGCAGGTTTACTTGTTTATGCAGCTGCAATCAACACATCATTCAAAGTAAATTTGCCTGTGATTCATGACAATAGTGATATGATCCAGGCTGAATTATAGCATTTATCAGGAGAAATATTTGTCGTAAAATTACTGGGCTGCAGGTTAGATGAAAGCATATAAGGCATATGAAAGCGAAACAGGCTGGAGTTGAAGTGTTCATGTGTAGATTTATGTAAAATTGACTTGTAGAAAATGCACCGAATGCATATTTACATTTATATGCCATCTTTTCCCCAGATATGTTATACTTTATACGCCAGATTTATGTATGACAAATGAGTTTTCACATTGATGATTGATAACTCTATAATTTATACTTTTCTTGCAGTAGAAGTTACAGGCTCACTTGAAACTTAAACAGGAACACCAATACAGGAACACGTGTTTTCTTCACTAATGTAATATTCAGCTCGTTGTCATGGCAATGAAGTACACAGGTTCTGTAAGGAGAGGTTACCCTTCAGCGAAAATGGTTTCTTTATACTCAAAATCAAAAAACATTTCTGAATGCGCCTACGTGCTCAGAATATTACAGCTTTTCTGCACCAAGTAAACCTTGTCTCATGTAAGCCTTTCACAAACCTTTTTACATTTTAGCTGTTTAGATTAGGAAGTATTCCATCAATGATTATCAAGGAATGTATAAAACATGCAAACATTATTATTAATATTTTGCAGTCTGTTTTAATCCCAGTTCAAGGGAAATGCAGTATTTGTATGTACTGTAAATGGAGAGATCAAACTGTGCATCCCTTTCCAACATGAAAGAGTATCTTCTATACAAGGACATATTGAATAAAACATTATTACATTAACAAATGGCATGTTTTATTTAATATATTTAATAATATGTTCACAAGATATAATAATATAATAACATCAGTCAAAAGAGCAACACTGCTGTTAGGTAAAGAAAGAAATACATTTTGTTAAAAAAATAACATTGCAGACTTTATAAACTAACCTCGAGAAACATACTGTAATATAAAAATGCGTAACTGCATTTCATAAGCATCATGACCTGTGATATTTGTAATATGTAAGGGCTCATGTACAGACATTCTTTGATGTGAAGTGGTTTACTGCTGTTTATGCTTTAGTGAATCAAGCCAGTAATTAAACTTCACTAAAACTCCTGTTATAATCACAGCTGCTCAAGGAATCTCTTATTTTCAGTGTTTCAGTGTTCTAGGTATGGTGAAAGTATTCATGAGATTGCAGAAATCCCAATGCAATGAGGAGATCACTCCATCCTGTGCTCAGTAGATATGACTTTGTTTGGCTACAGTGCAGCGCTGCAAACCTTGGGAGTCTGAATAAAATGTTATCCACATTTTTCTTCCCATGAGAGTGGGCATGGTCATTTGTAAATTCTATGGGTCTAGCTTCCGGTCTCATCTGCGTCCAGCTATTTTTAGCTGTATAAATCAGCTCGTTTTGCTGCTTGATATTGAAAATTGGTGTGTCTTACCATATTATTTGAATGTATTATCTTGATTATGAACACACTGGTTTGTAGTGCAAACAGTTTTACCGTTTACTGCATGTTGTTATTCTTCTCATTATTTCCCTATAGCGGCTAATGAACCGGAAGTCTTGCCCATAGGAGCATTGAAGAAAAAGGTGGATAATCAGCTTTTTTCACATTTGACCCTTCGCAAAGACCCGCCCCCCCTTAGTTACTGTTGCTATGTCCGACAAGCCATGGCGCTCTCATGTCACCCACAATGTTCTCATATAGTGAAAAATACATTGTGGCGCAGAGACGACACTGACCATGCACTGACAGATAAGACTGAGCCTACTTTTGGTATGAAAGTGTCAGCTTTCAAATTTTGTAAGAAATTCAAACAATAAATACCATTTTGTGGCTCTTTAATGTCTCTCGTCTTCTTTACTAGTCATAACGCGAAATAAACATCGATGAACATCAGAAGGTATCTTGTTTTAACCGCGTAAAGAAGTCAGTACACCATTTTTCAAGTTCAAGTCCACTGAAATTAATCTACTCTCTTGTCCGGTTTGTTTGTTGGACAAAAATGGCAGATTCAGAGTTATGATTGGTCAGATCACCTGTCAATCAAACTCCCTGTGAAGGGTCAAATAGCAAATATTGGCGGCTGTTATTGTAAAATCGCAGTAAAATGTTTCGAGGGAGTTCCACATGTGATGCTCATTTTAGAAAAAAAAAGAAGATTATAATCGCACCTCAAGCAGCATTATAAAATTATTAAAATAATGTATTTCACCACGTCTTTAAAGAGAATAGTTAGTGATGTTTTTTTTTTAGCAAGCTGATAATAGTGAGGAGAAAATACAACACACATACTAGTACTCACCTGTTCTTGAAGGCATACATGTTACTAGGGAGGAGAGAACTTTTTTTTTTAACAAAATACTATATATACAGGATTTGGGTTTGCTGTTAAAATCAAGGGATGTCAATAAAACCAAAAATATGATAAATTGCTTATCTCATGATTTTTACCAGTAGCGCAGTAACACAAAATAGTACGAAATTCAGTTCATTTATAAATTTTTTTGCATTACACATATTTAATAATCTAAAATAAAAGTCAGTATGGTAACTTTTGACATTTCTGTTTGAAAATGAATGTTCCTCATCGCTATTGTGATTTTAACCTGTTGACTCTTCTGCAGTGAAGAGTATGGGGCATGCAATGTATCTCAAAATGCAGTGCTGTTGATGGAAGCCCATGCTCACCTTTCCATCGGCTTGCAGTCAAGAGAGAGACTTCTGCTGCTTTTCACAGATTCGCTCATCATCGCCAAAACTAAGTATGTTTCAGTGGGTGTGAATATGTCTATTAATATGTACGAAATGTAAGACATCTGTCTCTCTAAGAGTGGACGTGTATGCATTGTGTGTGTTACATGTTACAGGTCTCTGTATCTAAAGCTGAAGGCTCGTGTTAGCCTCTCGGACATATGGCTGGCATCATGTGTCCACTGCATCACAGACAGAAAGCTCGCCTCCAAGAACTCATTTGTGATTGGCTGGCCGACCACCAACTATGTCGTCACTTACAGGTAGTCTTTGAAAAACAATTTAAATAGGACATAAATGTCAAACATCTGAGATCTTGGCATACCAAACCAGACTGATATGGTCATTGTATGTCATTCAGACAAACGGCACTGAAAAATTCTAAACTGTTTATGAGTTTGAGATGAAGCAGCCCTTCTTAAAAAAAAAAAAAAAGAAATATTCTGCAGTGGAAGGGAAGGGATAATGGATGTGTTAAAGCTTTAGGCACTTCAAGGAAAATATATAATGCTGAGGAAAATAATTAAATTGAGATCCACCCACTCAACTGCTACTGATTTGATCTTAAAACACTGTGATAAGGTGCAGCTTTTCTCATGTGAAGTTTAGATTATCTGTTATAAACGCACACAGGCGCTCTCTTTCAAGCTCAGTTCGGCACTCTGTCCTTCACATTGCTGATTCGACTTCTTATTAACCTCATTTTTAAGTCCTTAATTTGACATTGTTGTAGAGATAAAAGTAGGTTGAAACCCTTGAAATGGGAAGCACAAAGTATGCTGCAAATTACAGCATAAAAAACAAGATTGAGTATGCTATTAGTTATTTAATATCACAAAGACGGTGTAGTGATGACCTTTTTGATTGTTCCTCTAATGTATACTGCCTCAAATACTATATGGCATAGTGAACAAATTATGTAGTAATAAAAATGGATTGGGGATGGATTTTTAAAAAATAACACTGTAACACCTGTCAGCATGTGTTCATCATGAAACTAATATCAGACAGACAGGAAAGAAAGTCTCATGTGCAATTGTTTGACAGCGTCTCACTGTGACGTCGAAAACCCATAACATAAGGTTTTAACCTCCTCAAGATAGGGTATCCAGTGAATGCATAAAAACCAGAATGTGGGATTTAGACAAGAAACGAATGAGTCTGGTGAGTGAGATTAAAAGGATTTCTATCTTTTATTCCACATATAAATTCAAGTACATGAACAAAGGGTACATACAATGGGCCACTTCAAGGAAGTAATTTTAGTATGGTGATGTGAAATGAATGGCGAGCCCTCACGATTAGTTTTGAAGCTAGCATTCATTTTAAAGCTAGAATTGGACTTCATGTGTAAACAAGAAGTTGTTTTTTTAGTTTTGTTTAATATACAACATTACACACTTTTTTGTTATGCATTTCATACGAAGTTTAAATACGTAGGTAGGTAGTAGTAGGATTAGTAGATATGTCTGGTAAATGTGATTACCTACAGTGTCCACGGATGAGTATAGTTTTATAAGGCTGAGAGCAGAGAAGGAACACACACACACACACACACACACACACACAT